GAAAACAATTCACTCTTGATATCATATTGATTACATTGTTTAGTGCGATTTATCGATTTGTATCTAATTAGGATGTTTGTTATTATTAACTTACCTTATTAATATTGAATATACATTCTAATATATAGTTTCTATATACAGTTTCTCATATGATTAATCGTATAGAATATATAATATTCTCAATAATTTATTAGAGAATATTATATTTATTAGCTTATCATGCAAGTTAAATCATTGAGAAACGTCCACCAATTTACTATATATAAGACATTCACAGTAGGAGAAACGAAGCCACTAAACTTTTTATTCTGAACTTTTTATGTTGATACTGTTTTTGTTATTTTATATCATTAAGCTTTTATATATACATATTTCATCACATTAGAGCTGACTTTTCTTTTGGTTTATATGCAGATGCCCTATTATAACGATTTCACCACAATGCATGTAAATTTTTTTATCTTTCTATATGATTTGATTAATCGTAGATCTATTTGAATTCTAATTCTTACTTTTTTAAATATGTTCATAGGTATTGTCTTTCTATTTAATGATTGTTTGTTAGAGCTTAGAAGGAGAATAATGCTTTCACATGTATTTTTCTATTGGTTTTTTAATTTACAATTTTAGTTTATATGCGCAGACCAACGATTATGACGTTTCCTCTTGTGGATCCATATGTACTTAAATCTTTCTTCACATTCATGTTATTCAGAGACATGAACATTACAAATGATCATATCATCCAAAACACGTAAACTACAATGTAAGTTTCATGCTTTATTACTTTCTCTATGATTTTTCAAATAATTATTTGCTTATACACTAAAGAAAAAAAAAATCTTTAATCAATATTTTATTATAATAGTTAGTATAACTTTTTATACATTTTATCAACTTTGTACTCAGATATGATTTTATACAATTTATCATATTATAAAATGTATATCCTATAAATTCATATATGTAAACTATATAGTTCTTTTTGTCATCTTTTTTTTTGTCATCATAAACTATATAGTTCTATGTCAATTATAATATAACTTTATACAATTTATCACATAANAGTTAGTATAACTTTTTATACATTTTATCAACTTTGTACTCAGATATGATTTTATACAATTTATCATATTATAAAATGTATATCCTATAAATTCATATATGTAAACTATATAGTTCTTTTTGTCATCTTTTTTTTTGTCATCATAAACTATATAGTTCTATGTCAATTATAATATAACTTTATACAATTTATCACATAATAAATTATGTATATATTTCAGAGTTAGAATATGATATGTGTAACATTTTTGTATATATTTCTAATACTAATGTTAGAATTAAATCGGTTATATACAAATTTCTATATTAAACATAAGTGATAAAACATAATTATTATATATTTCTATAGATTTACAATATATCAAAATCAAAACTATTTATTATTCTTTAATTTTATAACCATATTATAGTATTAGGAAAGATATACCTTGTTGGTAGGCTTTTGATTAGTTAATTCGTTTATTAATAACTTGCCTTATTTTATTATCAGTTACTTGCACAAGTTGATACGATGATTACCTTATTGTGTCATCAGTCACTTGTCTTAAATGGTATGTTAATTATTGCAAATTTATGACAGTCAATTTTTTAATATCTTTCTTTGATTGCTTCATGTTTATTAAAAGGAAACAAATATTACAAGAACCATAAGACTTTATATATCTCAAGAAATGTCTTTACAAGAATTTTTATAACAAATATTTCAGGAACCATAAGACTTAATGATAAAATATGATTATTCATTCGTAATTATTCTTTAAATTTGATATATTCTGATTTTTTTTATTATATATAATTCTAAACAAAATAATCTTTTTAGGAATTATTTTTTTAAATATACATTTAATTGAAAATTTTAAAAATTAAATTTTCGTGAAATATATGTCTATTAAGTAAATTTCTTGTTCTTTTATGATGTCATTTATTGGTAACTATATACATGTGATATTGCATTAAATGTGTATGTTCTTTATTTCTTAATTAGTTAATTCGGAAATATGATGATTACTTTATTTTGCTATCAATTACTTGCACAAATTTATATGATAATGGTGATTTGAGTTAGAAAAACCCAAAAATACTATCCATTTAGAAAACCACAAATATAATGGTGATTTGAGATTTAGAAAAGCCAAAAATATTATCTTTATTACATTTATATATATATATATATATATATATATATATATAAATATATGGATCTTAAAAATGTAATTTACTATATATATACATTTGTTTGTTCTTTCTATTAACAGATAAATAACACAGATGAAATACCGTTTGTAGTTGACTACAAACCATTTTTCAGTCTGTTTCAATAGCGATATGCAAATTTAATATTATCTTCGAGTCGATAAAATTTAGAAATCTATTAAATTATTTTATATTGTACAATTGCTAAAAAATTGACAATTTTTTGCAGGTTTCTATGGGACTATTTTAATTCATAATTGTTCTTCTTATTTTATATTACTTATGAATTATATTTAAATTTTTATCACATTATCTATGGGATTGTGATATCTATGAGATTTTTATCACATTTATTATATATAATTCTAAACGAAATAATCTTTTTAGGAAATATTTGTTTAAATATACATTTAATTGAAAAATTTAAAAATTAAATTATCATGAAATATATGTCTATTAAGTAAATTTCTTGTTCTTTTATGATGCCATTTATTGGTAACTATATACATGTGATATTGCATTAAATGTGTACGTTCTTTATTTCTTAATTAGTTAATTCGGAAATATGATGATTACCTTATTTTGCTATCAATTACTTGCACAAATTTATATGATAATGGTGATTTGAGTATTACTTATGAATTTATACTTGCATAAATTTATATTGTACAATTGCTAAAAAAATGACAATTTTTTGCAGGTTTCTATGGGATTATTTTAATTCATAATTGTTCTTCTTATTTTATATTACTTATGAATTATATTTAAATTTTTATCACATTTTCTATGGGATTGTGATATCTATGAGATTTTTATAACATTTTTTAATGTCACTGTCTCTTGTATATTTTCTTACATTTGTTTTTTTAATAGTTAACTTTTATTAAAACCATACTAATGATGTTAATTTTTTTTTTACTTTAGTTAACTTTCATTTGTTTTATTCTTATATACTTTTTGTGACTTTTTTATTTTTTGTTTCAGTTTAATATTGAATTTAGTTCACATACTTTATGTGTATATGTTTTAAAACATAATTTTTCGACTATTAAAATATTAAGCGACAAAGAGCCTAATTAAACCGATCCAAAAACAAACCGAACTGAATATAAATTGAACTGGACATAAACAACACCGAACCAGACTAAATAAGGTTTATTTCAGTTGAAAAAATATATTAAAACTGAATTAAACAAACCAAACCGAAAAAGTAACGATTTGCCCACCCCTACTACATCTTAGAAATTTGCGCAAATCTTGTCTCAGCATTGAAACTCTCACTTGTTCTACTAACTCCCACATTTGAACTCAATAGATACTCATGTCTCAGCATTGTACTATATTTTTATACCCGCACAGGGTGCGGGCCGGTCACCTAGTTTTAGTTTATTTATGAGGAGTATTCTAGACATAATTCACAACAAGTACGTTTTCTATAAAGACATTTTGAAAAGATACGTATGTATATTTTTTTTTCTGAAAAATAGATACATATGTTTTTTTCTGCTGTGTTATAATTCCTAAGAACAACAGCCCCTGCAAACTTGCATGGAAGTATGAAAAAACGATCATCAGCTAATGTCATCAGGTGTTCTCTCTAGACTCTCACAGTTTTCATGAGTACTCTCTCTCCTTTATTTTTATTTGTTGATAAAAGAGAGTAAAATTTGATACAAGATAACAAGTATGATCAAGGTAAATCGTTTTGATGGCTAGTAGAAAAGAAAAACTTATACTATGCAGTTAATATATCAATGTATATATGTATGAATGGAATTTGCAAGTATGAGCTAACACAAAATATAAAAACAAGACTTGTAAACAGCAACTAGACAACAACAACAACAAGACAAGTTTTTTTCATTAAGATAAAAGAGGCCTCTCTACAAGAACATGGTAGTAGCATTCTTTGGAAGAGAACAATCTGCTTCTTATGCAATCTCCAACTGCAGTTGGTAGCAACCAAAAAAAAAGAAGTCAGTAAACCAAAATGATAGATGTAAATGTCTTAGTCATATTTGTTTGTGAGAATAAGTAATAAAAAAGAATGAGAGCTGCATAATTATTTACGGGGGAAAAAACTATTTGAATTTCTGTATTGAAAAAAAAAGATACTCTAACTTGCCTTCTCAGTCTTTGGATCATCATCAGCATCATATTGGAAACGATTGGCCCACTCTAGAAAATCTTGTCTTTTTGCCTCCAATTTTTTAAGATAAGGCTGGTATATTTGGAGTGAGAGATTAGATATATATATATATATATATATATATATATATATATATAAATTGTCAGTGAAAATACTCGAAAAGAAAAACTTGCCTCTCGAAGCTTATAGGCCTCATAAAGTTCTGCTCCACTGTTAAACTTGGCCGCAAGGTAATCAAGATACTCATCCATCTAAATCATGATGGAGAAAAGAATGAAACGAGAGAATGGAGGATGAAAAATAGTATTGATACAAAATCTTTTTATTAGGATGTGCATTTACATTATCTGCATGTGGGCGAGTTGTGAGGTGCGTGGCGAAATCATCAAAGCTGTCGGAAGAAAATTTGCATAATCCGCAATAATGCAGTTCACAGCCAGTGTCCTGTCTCCTCGTCTCATACCCTGAATCTGTAGAGGAGAGCAGATAATTAATAATTAAAAAAATTAATTTGGTAGTGTAGAGAGAGAGAGAGAGAGAGAGAAGAGAAACACACCTTTCAGTAAGCCAAACCTATCCCAGACCCACTCTCCACCAAAGTTGTCGACTAGTAGGGATGAAGGCTCTGGGTCTGCATGTTCGGTAACGTATGGATAAGCCAGAAGAAGATTGTAAGAGGAGGAGCCACCTTTATGAACCACGAAAACGATTTCTTCCAAAAGTTCGGCATGGACGGCGGATATGACCATCATTGTCAACGGAGGTTCAGAACGACTTTCAGACGAGTATAAAGCCTTAACCACACACTGGGTCATGTTGGATCCTGCATTCCAATTTGAATCATTTTTTATTTTATTTTTTTGATCTGAAAATATATATATAAAAAAAAAAAAGTATTTAAAAGAAAGAAGGAAAGATAGAGCTTTATAACCTAGTTGAAGCTGTTTGATAACGACTCCACCGGAAGAGAGGGCTTTCAGGAAGTCAAGAGGGACTCCTTCCAGGTTACCAACGGCAATGATGGTGAGCGGACCGTTGTAGCCTAGATTCTTCAGCTCCGTGTCTATTCTCGGACCGACCCGACTTGGCTCATAACCATTTGGGAGCGGACAGCTGTCCATGTCCCACCACACAAACGTTTCACCTGTCGCGAACTCTGGCCCCGCCTTCTTCACGTTCTTCATCATCTTCTTCTTTTATGCCTAACATACAAATCAATCCGATTAGTTCAAGGCAGCACTGAGGAAAACAAAAAGAGACTGAAACTCACCTGCCGACGTTGAGAGAGAGACGTAGAGATCAAAGCGATGCCATAGGGACCATTTAGGGTTTCTTTTATAGCTTCACCTCATGGGCCATCTTTATGGGCTTCTTTTTGGCGCTGAACAAAATATTTTTTTTACTTTTTTAAAAAAGAAAAGAAAAAATATTTAAAGTGGTATTCACAACAAGTGTTTTCTATAGAGAAAATTTGAAAAGATACGTCTGAGTTTTCCTGACGTCTTACTTCCTAGCTAGAGTATCAACAGCCCATGCAAATTTGCATGAAGTATGAAAAATCGATCATCAGCGAACGTGTCGTTGTGTATTCTCTCTCCTTTTTTTATTTGTTGATAAAAGAGTGAGTAAATTTGATACAAGATAGATACCAAGTAGTATTATCAAGGTAAAGTTATTGCACAACGGTAATAAGAAAGTATTTCTGGTTTTGTATTTTAAAAATCAAATTATTTTTATAAATCTAGAAAGTTTTTAAAGCAACGACTTTCTTGTTTTTACCGATTTCATATAATTAGTTTTAAATTTTATTCTCTTTACCTTGTTACGAGGACGAAAACTTCATTTCATTTATCCTCCAAACCAAACCCATCCCTATGATCATCGCTCTGTTAAAACTCATTACGTTGGTTATTTCTTGACATTGCTTAAACGTAAGGCTTTGTCTATGAACATTACGTTGGTTATTTCTTGACATTGCTTATTTGTTACGTTTCAAACTAGATCAATATACATTATCCTGAGTTATCTAAATGATGGCTAAGCCTTGGTATAATTATGAATATCTATAGTTATTCTTGGTTTGGTTTAGTATAACAATTTGCAATGAACACTAGAAAATTCAATAGCAACTTCTATTATTTACTCTTTCTCTTCGGATTGTTACTGAAACCAAAGCTGGTTTCTAGAGAGGTTGAGACATTATACTCTGTCTGTTTAATTCAGCAAACGGTCAGACCATAGCATATTGATGCAAGGTACAGATATTTCGTCCCTTTCTCCTGAAACCGAAAGTAAAAAAAATCATGTCAGTGTACATAGAACAAACCGCTGGAGAAGAATGCTGACGCCTTGATTTTTCCCATGGAAACAAAACTACTGCTGAAGTGAACTAAAGTTTTAATGAGTGCAACATACTTAGGCTGAGGAAGGAACATAACGAGGGGCAAAAGATTTGCAGGGTCGATGAAGAACTTGTCATACGAGGTGGCTACAATACCTTCCATCATTTTGATGGAAAACAGCTGAAGAGGAAACAAAAAACGTAATCAATCTCCCAAACCTCGATCTGGTTTAGTTGGATACAACATAGATTGAGAGAGGGCTTACAGATTCATTGATGGTGCCGAAGAGACATTGTTCTGAAGGTAGATAGGTGCATTGAAATAAGGAATCTTCTCCCTCACAATCATGCAGTAATGTTAACCAAACAAAGAAACCTAGTCACAGTGGGAGTCAATAACAAAGTCCTACACAAGCCTATACAACAAGACTCTCAGAGATGATCAGCGGCAGCTTAAGATTCTTTGCATCACCAACTGTTCACCCAATTCTCTTGTTGAGTTATGATTTAACTAAAAGTAAGTTGTAGTTTTTGTATGGAGCTATGATCAAGTTTCAGTATGTCTTGTTTGGTTACATTTGGAGAGAATAAATAATTATTAATTCCTTGTATAAGGTTTAAAAGGAGTCATTGAGATGGAAACATTGGTTAATGTCTCTATACGAATCACGAAATAGCAAGAAACAGCTGCTTGACGTCTAGTCAAGTGCATAGGCGAATGTCTTGTGTTGCAAGGAAGCATGGCTTACTAGTTTCTCCTATTAGTCTATGTTCATAAGGCTAACCTAATAACTGAGTTTACTCTGTTTCATCAAAAGGCTCAATGCGTATGAGAAACAGAGTATGAACGATATAATTTGGATCTATCGTTTGGTTTCAACAACTGATAGTTGATTTTTTTTTTTTTTGTAGTCCGCTGTTTTTATTGCAGAAAATCAACTAGGCAAGGGAGAAGAAGTTGAAAATCAATCGGTTTTTGTTAGCAATGTAAGAATGCTTATGTGTCTGCTTCTGGTTGATTTTTTTTTTTTTGAATTGTGATTAGAAAGAGAAGTTGAAAATCAATCGGTTTTTGTTAGCAATATAAGAATGCTTATGTGTCTGCTTCTGGTTGATTTTTTGAATTGTGAATAGATGACTTTTTTTTTTGTCAAACGAATAGATGGCTAAACTTTAGTATATAAAACATTTATTGGAAAAAAACTCTGTCTTTTCCGTAAGATAGATTAAAAAATGTAATATTTTGTTTTAATGCATAATTTCTTCATGTAATGACTTTTGATGAAAATTAAAGAGGTCAGAAATCTTATTTGTCCATGTTTCTCCAGAAATTACAGATTTTATAGGGGTTAGTCTACTGAATTAGGTTGAATATGAAGTATTATTGAATTACTCACTAAAATATTAGAAATGATTTTCATGTACCATAAAAATAATTTTAAATTACATTAATATGAATGTATAATTTGATCAGGTATTTTTTAGTCAACATGAAAGAGTTTAAACTTTAGTAAATAGATTTTTTTGGAAAACTCAACATTTTTGTAGGGGTTAACCTACATATTTCAAGATAAATTACAATATACTTTATTTTTATTTTAAGGCATAGATGCATTCACTATATAAATAGGATGAAGATCAATGATATCTGACACCTTTGTTGTTCTTATTTCTCTAGAATATAAAGATTTCATTGGGTTTTGGTTCCTTGATTTACGTGGTATATAAAGTTTTCTTAAATTATTTGTTGGAAAATTATAACTAATACCCATGTACCATGAAAATAAATTTAGGATAATTATTATAAATTTTTGATGTGACTAGATATTTTAAATAACACTAAAGAAGCTCAACTTAAGTACAAATAGCATTTATCGGAAAACTCGATCATTTGTAGGGATTAACCCATAAATTTCAAGATAAATTAGAAATATATATAATTTTTGTATTTATGTATATCTGCATTCAACACTGATATATGATGAATATCAAAGAGTTTGATACCTTAGTTGTCTAAAGTCCTCTATAAAATAGAGATTTTTTAGGATTAGTTCATTGATTTTGGTGGTATATGAATTTTATTAAATCATTTGGTTAAAAATTAGAACTTATGCCCATGTACCATGAACATATGTTTAGTATATTATTATAAATTTTAAACGTGGTTAGGTAATTTTAAAAAAAAACTACAGAGGTATAGATAACCCATATATTTCAAGATAAATTAGAATATATGGTATTTTTTTATTGAATGTTGCATCATGGACTGACATAATATGAAGAAAAATAAGTTTTGAGAACAAAAAATGAAGATTTTATCGGGATTAGTCCACTTATTAGGTGGTAAATGAAATGTAAATAAATTAGTCATTCGAGAACAAAAAATGGATATTTTATAGGGATTAGTCCACTTATTAGGTGATAAATGAAATTTAAATAAATTAGTCATTTGAAAATTAGAAATGATGCCCATGTACAAGGAAAATAAATTTAGCTTACACACACATATATATATATATATATATGTAAGTTTTTCCATGTGTATTTAAACAACATGTAGGAGGCTAAATATGACAGATATTATTTATCAAAAAAAACGATATTTTCGTAGGGGTTAACCCACATATTTCAAGATAAATTACAAAATACAGAATTTTTATTTTAATTCATAGATGAATCATGAACTGTCATAATATGAAATTTAAAATAATTTGATACCTTAGGTGTTTTCATTTCTCTAGAAAATTGAGATTTTATAAGGCTTAGTACACTAATTATATGTATATGAAGTTTAGAAAAGTTTATTCGTTGGAAAATTAGAAATGATGCCCATGTACCATGAAAACATGTTTAGCATACATTAATATGCATTAGATTGTGGTTAGGTATTTTAAAATAAATATTTATGAGGCCTTTAGAATATAAAACATTTATTGGAAAAAAACTCAATCTTTTTGTAAGATAAATTAAAAACTGTAATATTTTGTTTTAATGCATAATTTGTCCATGAAATGACATGTGATTAAAATTAAAGAGGTCTAAGACCTTATTTGTCCATGTTTCTCTAGAAAATAACAGATTTTATAGGGGTAAGTCCATTGAATTAGGCGAATATGAACTATTATTAAATTAATCACTAAAATATTAGAAATGATTTTCATGTACCATAAAAATAATTTTAAATTACATTAATATGAATTTATAATGTGATTAGGTATTTTTTTAGTCAACATGAAAGAGTTTAAACTTTAGTAAATAGATTTTTTTGGAAAACTCGATATTTTTGTAAGGGTTAACCCACATATTTGAAGATAAATTAGAAAATACTTTATTTTTCTTTTAATGCATAGATGCATTCACTATATATATAGTATGAAGATCATCTATGTCTGACACCTTTGTTGTCCTAATTTCTCCAGAATATAGAGATTTCATAGGGTTTGGTTCCTTGATTTATGTTGATTTACGTGGTATATAAAGTTTTAATAAAGTACTCGGTTGAAAATTATAAATGATGCCCATGTACCATGAAAATAAACTCAGGATTCATTAGTCTAAATTTATAATGTGGCTAAAAGTCTCCACTTAAGTACAAATAGCATTTATCGGAAAACTTCATTTTTTCGTAGGGATTAACCCACAAATTTTAAGATATATAATAAAATATAAAATCTTTGTATTTATGTATAGCTGCATCCAACACTGATATAGTATGAATATCAAAGAGTTTGATACCTTAGTTTTCCAAAGCTCTCAATTTAATAGAAATTTCTTAGGGTTAGTTTATTAATTTTGGTGGTATATGAATTTTATTAAATTATTTGTTTAAAAATGAGAACTGATGCC